TTGAGCTTTCAGCCATTCAAGGTAGGCTTTGTTGTTGAGATCATCCCAAATGGGGTGCTTGTATTTCTTTTTTGTGGTGCGATGACCATTTAAAAATTTCCAGAATGGCTTTGTATTGCTATTTGAGCATAGTTCTTCGATAACGAGGGCTCGATGGCATCTTTTGGCTTTTCTAATCGATTTCTTCCATTCTTTTTGTGATAACTTGAAATCTTCAAAATTAGAAATATTGGGGTATTTGGAAAATTTTTGTTTAGCAGCCTGTAATCTACGGAATTGTGAAGTGAGCAGCTCGTTCCACCAAGGTTTTGGTGAGTAGGAATTCGAGATTTGGATGTCGGATTTGGCGTTAATTATTTCTTGTTGAAATGAGCACTGGATAGATTCGACCTGTGGCTCAAGACATACGTGAATAAGATTATTTAGGAGTTTTTTCCTCGAGATAAAGTCATTTATCTTGTACGAGATAATAGAGGTGGCATTAAAGAGAATAGGAAGGTGGTGGCTGTTTCCCAGGAAAATTTCTTTTTTAACCTCCCGTTTGAATGTGAGATGGGTTGCGTTAGTGAAAGTAAGATCCAACACGCTACCACAATTGTTGGTCGTAGAGTGAAAATAGGTTGGTGAATTATCATTCAGACAATAGAAGTTACTAGCTTTAATGATTTCTTGCAAGGCTTTGCCTTTATTGTTTGCAATTATGACATTGTGGAAACTATTGAGCATATCACAGAGACGATTAAAGTCATCCCGGAAAGATTGAGTGGGGATGTTGGGCTTGAAATAGCAAGCAGCAATGACGATATTAGGTTTTAGACAAGAGGTTTTGATAATGACAATGTCAGCAGTCGATTTAAATTGGATTTGTTTGAAGGATATGCCTTTTCTGGCAAGGATGGCAACACCTCCATAGCCGTCACTTCTACATTTATAAGCGGAGTTGTAATTTGAGATTTTGAGATCGGAAATTTTTTCATCGGACAGAAAGATTTCACTCAAGATGGCGAAATCAGTTCGGTTGGAATTTATGAAAAAATCAAGAGAATGGGCATTACGCCTGAAGCTTTGTATGTTATACTGTAGGAAGGACGTCATGAGAAATGTTAGAACATGATAGGGCCGACCCAGATGTGCCTTGTTTTAAAAGATCAAATTTTGATTTAAGGGAACTTATTTCTGTTTGGATGGTTTTAAGCATGTCTTCTTGAGAAGAGATGGAGAGAATCCTGAACATCTTTTCCAGAATTATCTCCATTTCAGTGGATTTATCGTAATTGATGAAAGAATGCTTTTCAGGGGTGGGGTAGGTTTTTTTGGCTCCTGCGACTTGTTACTGTAAGTCGAGGGCGTCTTGAGAGACATTCTATGCAAGGACTTGGGAATACTTGTTTTATTTTTTAAAACTGCATTGAAGTTTTTGTTAATTAAAATATTATTTGTATCAATAGTAGGGTCTCTGATATTGTTAGGAGCATTGCTGTCCTTCATTGCTGGGAAGTTTACGTCATAGTTTTCAAGTAAATTGTATGGGTTGTTAGAGAATTACTCTTTGTATTCTCTAAAAGATAAGTTCTGGATGGTTAAAATTTTTTTTAAATTTTCCTCTTTCTTTCTTTTTGGACACTCTCGAAATGTTACGTTGTGGTCCAGCGACCCGCAACCTAGACATTTGATTGAGAGGCATGAGTCCGTAGGACAGGCCGGTGACTTGCCACAGTTCAGGCATCTGCTTTCCTTACTTTTGCAGAATTTGGCGATGTGACCAAATCGGCCGCAATTATAGCAGAGCCTGACGGAAGGAATGAAGTAGTCAACTGGAATATTGCAATAGTTGAATTTTATACTCTTGGGAATTAGTTTACCCTTGAAACCAATTTTTAGGCTGTTTGTTGGGATGAACATTTCTCTGTCTGCAAGGTCTCTTCGTGCTATAAAGTATATATATTCTTGATCAGCGTGAATTTCTAAGCACATTTAGCCATGTCCGTCCGTCTATATGGTGTGTGCTGTTGGCACTCTTCTGGTCGCGAAAATGAAGATCAAGAAGATGAAGAAGTATATATATATATATATATATATTCTTGATCAGCGTGAAATTCTAAGTTGATTTAGCCATGTCCGTCCGTTTGTGCGGTGTGTGCTGTTGGCACTCTCCTGGTCGCAAAAATGAAGAAATCGACTTCAAGTTTAGTGGAAACATTGGAAGTTTTTGCACGCAGCTTGTTATTGAAAATAGGACAAAGTAGTCAGAGCAAAAGCTCCCATTGGAGCGTAAACTGGACGCAACTCGGATCTTTTTAACAGAAGTTTTTGGATTTTTGCTCGTTGCTCGGAAATTATTATAGTTAGAACCGTGAAATTTTCCATATTTATTTTACGCAATAGTCTACTCTTTATGTTGGAGTATAAAATCAATCGACGATGCCTATACAAAGTTACGAAGTTACGAAAATTTTACTTTTTTCAAGTTCTTTAGGTTTTGTACTTATCTATCACAAGGCGAACAAGACAGAATGCTTAAAACTAGTTTGTACACTCCTTAAATGGAGATGTATTATCTGCCTAAAAATGGGTTCATTTTAAAGCGGTTATAGTTGGCACATTTTAAAACGGTTATGGTGGACAATTTTTTCTTAATAATACAAGCGATATGGGTATCAAATAAAAGAACTTGGAGAGTAGAATGCGCAAACATAGTGGCGGGTAGGCGAGATTCAACCCGCGGAGATTATAACTTTCTTAGTTGCTTTTTTGATATAAATAATCGCTCAGGAGATGTCCTCTATTCATGCAACACGGTGACGATCAGAGTGTAACGAAAGGGAAAGAGATGGGAAGACGACCGCAGTTGCGTGGCTATGCTCCTGGTCCCTGGCGTCATTTTTAACTCAAGTGGCTCTGTGGGTGTCCAAATTTGAATTTAAAAAAAAAAACATTTAGTCTCCCGTTGCTATATCTAACGACGTACGCAGGGGTTTTTGAAAATTGGATCGGCAATTGTTTGAGTGGAAAAGTGCAATTTTCGGGAACAAAAAACTTCACTCTCTATTAATAACATAAATAATATTTAAATTAACCAATTGAAAAAATCCTGCGTGTTTCATTCGAGAATGTTATTTTGAAAATACAATGACAAAATACGAATGAAAGAAATGGCAACTGTTTGAGTTATGTTCCGAGATGGACGCCTTTAAAATTCTAACATATGTTGCACACATGTGTTGCTTTCTTATCACAGTAAATTTGTATACCCTGCAACACTTGTGGTGCACGGTATATTAATTTAATGCGGTCGTATGTAATAGGTAGAAGGGCTTAAGATAGATCCTTTTATATCCTTATATATTTTATCCCTTTATTATACTAATTGATTCAGAATCATAATCTGATTTGACTTAAACCTATCTGTCCGTCTATCTCTCTGATGTCTATTCATGTAATTTTTGAGATATTGCGATGAAATTTAGTACAGCGACGTGATTTTTGACTCAAGGATGAGCACGAAATATAACAATAACTGCAGTTCACACGAAAAAAAGGTGTAATTTTTAATTCTTCATGCAGAAATTATATCATAATAGTAATTTAACATAAAGAAATTAAATGTACCAAATTTGAATCACCTGGGCCTATGTTTTGCACCCTACTCTAATAAGGATTTTCACAAAAATTGATACTTTGTAGAGCAGAAAAGTTTAAATTTTAATATGTGGTTTATGAAATAATAGTAATTTCATACAAAAATGAACTCCAAAAAACTTAGGTCATCTACGCCTACCTATTTTTAGATGCCGCCCTATGTAAGGATTAAACTAAACTTTACTACGTTACATTGCGTTCTGGGCCTGCTTCCTCATAAATGCGCATATGAAAAATATGCCTTTATATAGAAACAAGTTATAATTTTTGTGTTCTGTAATAAAAATAAGGATTGTGTCAGACAGTTTGGTGTAGGGTATTTTATGCTCGGCTTTGTCCGACTTCTTACTTGTTTTAATTATATATTTCTATCCGTCCATAAAACTATCCCTCCAAGTTCAAATATTTCTCCTCTTTCTCTTCTCTCCGAAATTGTTTGCTACAGACTGCCTGTTTTGCGGCACCTGCCAAAGACCGCTCAGCTTTCTTGACCCAATCAGCATTGGCTTCAATACAAAAATTGTTTCGCTGGGTATAAACATCCAGCTTCAAAATTTAAACGATTTTTAGAATACTAGTCATACTGTCAGGTATGTCAGTCGCTGTGTCCAAGACATTTTGCCTACAGAAAATCCCAAAGGTTAAAGAAAGATATTGTTCACGGGTAGTGAAATTTTTTTCATGCATTCTAGAAACAAAAAAAAAAGGAATTTTTTCGAAAATTTAAGATTAAGCTAGAGGCTAAAAGACTATATGTATTCAAAGCGTTTTTAAGCGAATGTTAACCTACTTATTACTTTAATCTCTCCTTCTCGCCCTTTCGCCGGATATGTTGATGACAGTATTTCGATAAATTAACACTTGAACGATATTAAAATTTCTTTATTGCCTTCATTTCACTATGGACTCTTTAGAATTCTAAGGCAAGCGGAAGTGAAGACGAGCAAACGAAATAAAGTATGAAAGGAAAGAAATTAATTAAAGTGCGACCTTGAACGGTTTTTCAGCATCAATCAATAATTGGCAATCTTAAGTTCAATTGCAGGATTTACCTACAAGCTTAATACTACCAAAGCGATTATGCTCGCTCTGTCATCATCATCATCTCATTCTTGACATTTTTACAACAACTGTAAAAATTGTAACAACTGCGTTGTTTTTAGTATTTTATTGATACATTTTCCTCCAAATTTCGAAATGTTTCCTTGCATTTGAGAGAAAAAAAGAAACACTTATTTCATAAATTTTTAAGATGATCAATATATATATAGTATATATATATATATATATATATGTAGTGAAATTTAAATATAAAGCAAAAATATATTTTTCGATTTATTTTTGATTGAATTCAAACGCAGTTTATTATAAATGACGTACGCTAATATAAAAAATGGCAGTGGAAGAGGATTTCAAAACAATAAAACTGAAAACTTCATGTGCAAAATTAAAAATCGATCACAATATCATAAGCAAAAAAAAGGAAATAAACACCGAAGACAATTATTATATGGTGAATATACAAGAAAATGTTGTCGAATTCAAGTGTACATTATGGATGCAAACGCCAACAATCAGTCAGAGCGTAACGAAAAATATTCAATGGAAGGAACAAATTCAAAAATGTATTGGCTGGTCTTTAATGGAACGATTAACATTATTCAGTTTTTTATTGATGTCATTCGGCAATATTGTGATATCTCAAGAACTTCAGGATTTTCAAAAAAACAGTAAGTAAACATTGAGCTGCATAAACTTAAGAATAAATTTCTCTTTTCCTTTGCCGCATCTGTCAGTACAATAATATTTTTATATGCATTTCTTTTATATATGTACGATATTTATAAAAACAAGTTTTTTTTTTTTTATAACCAACACTACGCTACGCACCCTACTGAAGGATGACATTCTATACATTTTGTCATATTGCTTGTCATAAACAACGCCCTACTTATCCGACATTAAGTGCACGAATATTTTTAATTTCTACATGTTGTCGCTGTTGTTGTTGGTGTTCTTGTTCGAAGTCAAAAAGCAGAAAAGAATCACGATATCTGATAAATACGTTGTGAGTTTGGACTTTCGAATCAGTCGAAGAAATGCATCTGCTGAACACAACATATGTTCCGTTTCTAAGTAGGGTTAAGAAAAAAAAATAGTGGACTGAACTTTGAAAATTCCAAAATAAGTTTCTTTCAGTTTTCCCAAAATCAAAAAAAAAAAAAGAAATCCAAATCCATCCTGAATCAGCTTAATATCACACTTCAATTAGTTGAAAGATGTAGATTTCCTTGAAGTTGTGGGAAATCAGTATTCACCGGGTAACAAATACAACTTTATTTTGCTTCTTATACCCGGTTGCGGCTGTTTTCTAAATAGCTTTAAGGTTGTCTGTGTATCTTATATTCGGTATTGTATTTTTCCGCAATATTTTGATGAATTGATGAAACCCTAGAATGAACACTCTTAAATGAGTTTGAACCAGATACCTTTCATGATCACTTTATATGTAAGGCGGAGTTTTCAAAATATCGTTCCAAATTTAATCTTATCCACTTATTTCCATCACACTTCTCATAAAGACATATTACCTTGACACAAATATATGTAACACCCAGATGAACTTCTGAATCGATTTATCTTTACTAAGGCTGGTCGCAAAGGACGCACAGCGCTGCCACACAGACTGGACCGGACCATCTCTAAGGCTCCATTTCGAAAAAATGCTCAGTTATAAGATATATTGGACATTTCTTGACAGCTTTAAAACTTCTTCGCCAAAAATAAGGGGAAATGTGGAACATTTGCATTGAATTGGAACTCTTTCTTCACCGTTTCCCATGCAAACATTCTTACAAGCAGTAAGCCTTTTTTTGGCAATAAAGCCTAATATTTAGTATTTTGTGATGAACAAGACCCAAGATGATGATTTAAACTATAAATTTACTGTAGCATAATTTGAATACTTAGATATATTTTTCGAATACTTCCCCCTATACATGTTCTCATGAAAAGTTAAGGCAAAGCATAATTTTTCTTCACATGTTGCGGCGAAGATAAGTAGATGGGAAGAATTAGTTTAGGTACGCGAAATGCTTAAGGTTGAGGACATTCAATAGTCGGCTATGCCGACTACAAAACTTTCGCTTGTTTTTGAACTATTTTTATATAACATACTTTTTATATATAACATACTCATGCTCCAGACAATACGCTTTATATTTTATTGAAAGACATTTATTAGAAGATCTAATTTATATGACAAGTACTTGATAGTAACGTTTATAAATATCCTATATTCACCTTAAAAGCTAAATATAATTTCTTTTCTCATATTTATATATGTACGCATCTAAGAACAATCAAATTTCAACGAAATGCAAAAATAAAAAAACCAAAACAACAAGAAAATGATTTAAGCATAAATGCAATAACAAGAATAACATTCTATTTGTCTTAGACTGGCGGTCTAGCTACTCATACCTACTAGAGTGGATTTTCAAAATTTATTAAATGGTTCAGAAGGCAAAGAAGTATGCTTCCGAGGCCCGAACAAGTAAAAGAAGAATACGCTTATTCAGCGGAGTTTTGAAAAAAAGCAAATCGTAACCTATTAAAGAAATCTGCGGCAACCGTATATGAGCGTACGATCTTCGATCTTTAGGCAATAATAAAAAATACTCCGTCCGTATTCGTTTCTTGAAGGATATAAAAATAAATTCGAATTTAAGTAGCAAAGACACTTGTCAACTCTGTTAACAGAGCTATGCTAAGTATTTAGGATTCAGATATGGTGGGACTTGGAAGCGCACTCTGTCGAAATTAGGAAAAGTAAAACATTTTTGTGGCCACCTCATGAATATATATGGAAATAACTTTCAAAGAAGTTAAATAAATTCGAAATCCCATCATGTTCGGCATGGGATATCTTCTTAATACCCTCAGAAATTTCGTAAAGTAAAGCTTAACTTTGATCCTTTAGAATACACATTCTCCGCACAGGAGAGAGGTACAGCTTGTCTTCCGAGGCGATCTACCGAAGGGGTCCATATTTGTTTAACATTTAACGTTTAATATAAATGAATTTTCAACTTTATAATTGATGCTAATGATTCGGCTTGATCGCAACATGGCTATTTGATGTTGTGGATATCGTGAGGCATTCAGGGTTCATCGCCCGCAACGTTTGAGGGGATGGCAGTGTAGGACTCCGTCTAAAACGAGAAATGACTTCTTATGCAGTAACTACACCCGTGTGGTACTTGGTACCATCAGAAACGTAAATCAAGGAATTTATGCTGTCAAGTTGACTTTGTCAATTCGTAAGTATTCATGAGGTGGCCAAAGCATTCCCACTTACTATGGCAAAATTAAGCAAATCCAGGGAAAGCAAAGGCTCAACAAATGCCTTATTATTTTTAGACATAAATGAAAAAACAGTTGGCAAAATATACACATATAAAAAAGAGCAAAAAGAAAATTGATATAAATAAGGTACGAATTTGCAAGATTTTATCTTAAGCGATTGTTATTTGATTTTAAATTAATAAGATAATAAAAGAACAAGAAAATAGATGACTTAACCAGCGACACGAATATGTATTTTTGATCCATTGACGCCACTTAGTAGATAATAGGCATTCAAATGTTTATAGTGCTATTGCAATAAGAGTATCATTACTTTTGACGGAAATTTTGTTGACAAAACAAAATGCTTGCTACTATCCCCGGAATTTTTCACATCATACAACATGAGTGTATAAAAAACTAATATATAACACGTTCCTAATGGCCATTATGAAAGAGAAACAGCTCGTACAGAACATTTGTCTCTATAGAATTTCTACGTGTTTGTAATGGAAAGCATAGATTACCTTATGCATAGTGTGCAATTGAAAGAGCGACAAAAATTCTCTCCTCATACATGAGGGCCTGATGCAAATTTAACACACTTTTGAGATATTTCAGAAATATGAGTACAAATACTATAATATATAAGTGATGACTATAAAAGAAAAAGAAAAAAAAACAATGCTTTTGTTTATAATTTTTGTTTTTATTAAAATAGTTTGGTAATGAAAACTATAGCAAATATGCTATCGTTGTTAATTCGTTTTTTTTTTTTTTATAACATATTTTTCGGATAAAAATTATCAAACAATCCTTTAGAGGAAACAAAGATAGTAAACGTTACATTCCTAACCTCTAGTGAACGTATAAAAAAACAACTGAGACTTATGGGCATAGATCGTCTTGATAAATATTTGACATAAGATTATGAATAGAAAAAGTTTTAAAATATATTCTCTTGTGAATCATTCACTGCTGTAACTGTAAATAGGCAATGGGTAGATGGATGATGATGAAGAACATATCTGGTATGTGTTTCTAGTGACGATATGAAAATATTCCCAATATTTTCCAAGATATTTTCTTAATCTTGAACTCATCAATGATTATTAATATGTAAATAAATAAAGCTGCCAATGCTGACATAATAAAATATGTCCTTCCCAAGCTTAAATCAGTATCTTGTTGTTCCGTATATGTATGAAATAATCCTTTGTCTACAGGGATTGACACAAAAATCCAATTTGGTTATAAATGATTTTTAAAAATTTTATTTCCTTAAACATTATCAATATTTTTATCAAATGTTTGAACACACACACGTGTACGTACAATTCACGAGAAATTTTACAAGACATATACGTACATATCTTATTATCGTATGTGTTTACGTCTTATATTTATTTGAATATACATATACTATGTAAATGTTTATTATTTATTTATTTCCATCGATTCGTGAGTGAAAATCAAAATTGAATTTCCATTTCACTTATATTTTTCTTGCAGTTCCTGCGCGTCTAATCTGGGCAGCAATAGGAAAAAGTGTCGACTTACCTTGCGATCTTACACCACCGGCGCCACACGATTCGGTCAAACTTTTGTTATGGTTCAAAGATATGACTGGTATTCCTCTCTACAGGTGATCATTTCTTTTAATGAGATTATCAATAATTGGAAACAAGTAAAAAAATTATATTCGACCGTGAGCGAATCTTTTACCCCTTCACCATTATTTTAAAATCGGATGAAAAAAAGAAAAAGAATTGAATTTCACATACACTAACATTTAGTGGGCACGGTTAATTTTGATATACTATAATATTGGATAGGCAGTTTTTCCCATTTTTGTACAGACACTACAGGGTCGTCAATGAAACAATTTTGTGCCTTTTACTGCTATAGTTTATGAGAAATGAGAAAAAAATCAAATTTTTATTTCTTTTGAAAAACTGAAGTGTTCTCAGTTTCCGTCGTACTGTGAGCGAGTCCTTCGACCGATTTTCAATAACAACCTGTCTGCAAGAACTTGCAATATTTCCGCCAAGTTTGAATTCGGCAGCTCCGTTTTCGCAAAATGGTTGCAACACACGCGAGAAAAATGTTTACAACAGACACTGCACAAACAGACAGAATTTGATGCTGATCAAGAATATATATCTACTTGGTGTGGTCTCTGCAGCTACCTGCTGGGTGAAGCAAATGTTTTAACGAAACAAATACACTGCTCATCTTTCAGTGATAGCTATAGAAGCCATTTTTACAAAAGTCAGGAACCGTTTAGTATTACAACCCACAGCCCCGTTATCGTTAGCATTTTGCAATTAAATTCATCTATTTTTATTTTCTGGATCAGCATAAAGTTATAAATCGATTCAAGCATGTCCGTCGGTGTATCTGTCTGCCTGTATAGTGTCTGTTGTAAACATTATCCTGACCGCAAAAATGGAGCTACCGACTTCAAATTTAGCAGAAACATTGGAAGTTCTTGCACGCTGTTTGGTGTTGAAAACGGGCTAAATCGGTTGAAGGACACATCCATAGCACCACGTACACTGAAGACACCTCTGTTTTTCAGAAGAATGTTTTTTGCTCATTACTCATAAACTATATCAGATAAGTCTATAATAATTTGAACGCATATTCTATAGACGATATCGTAGCACACGTACAAAAAGTGGAAAAAATTGGCCACGCCTACCCTGTATTATAAATTATAAAAATTTAATTTTTTTTTTCACTACCTTTATAAAGCACAGAAACTGTATAAATTCTTGCCAAGCTTCACATTTGGAATGCATCTACACATGCCCTTCTGTTCGTCTGTCCATCCACCTGACTGCGTAGTTGTGTAGTATTTGTGCTAAACATTTTCTCGCTAGGAAAAGTAAAGATATCGCCTACAGAGCAGATGCAAAAGCGTCTGAAAGTGACTTAAAAGTTTTCTAAGAACTCGTCTGCATCTCCCGCATGCCTGTGCGACAAAAGCTTTTATATTGAAAATAAAAAAAATCAGCCACGCCCACTTCACATTATACATCATAAAAATTTAGTTAGTAGGAAATTTTCTTAGGATAACGTTGATGGGTATAAAAGATTCGTCCACAACCGAACATAATTTTTTCATTTGTTTTGTTTGAAATTGTGCTTCCAATAATCATACACGTTTAGATATAACCATTTTCGGCTAAAATAGAATATATTTTTCGTAAGTCGTCGTTAGCATTTATGAGTTTTAGCAATAGTTTAAAGAAAAAAATTGAAAGGAATCCAAAGAAAGTTGAAAACTGCAGATTTTGAAAGCTTGCAAGGAAATGTATTAACGGCTTCTGAATGAAATATTATAGGACAAATAGTACTGCTTATTGCCTAATGCTTTAACAGGGACTTCTTGAAATTCTAAGGAAGTTGTTGAAGCAAAACCTTGCAAGGTCGATTGTCATGTAGTTTACCTCGCCTCACGCAAATTTTTGTCTTTTTTATCACAAAATATCAAGTTTGGGACGTTGAAGCTGCTTTCTATGGCAAAGGATCCGGAATGTAAGCCTAACTTTTTTGCGAGCACCTTTCTATGAGAAGGTGGTCCGGAAATGGTCTCATTTCATCCAAACTTTCTACATATATTGAGCACTTCGGAAACTAAAAAAACTCATTTTTGCGATAAAGTATTAAAATTGGAAATTTTATATATATAAATTTTTTTGTATATTAATCGTAAGAGTGATCCTCCAATCCTAAGATATCGCCTAAGCCTTTTGCTATGGTGTAATAAATGGTGGGCCTCTTTCAGTTCCTTTTGGGCGTGACAAACATAAGCACACTTATAACACTAATAAAGACATAAGGTTTAATTAATTACAGTACAAAATAAAAAAGAGTAAAATGCGAATATCCATTGGGTGTATTAATAAATCAGTAGATGACATATAAACATTAATTCAAACTACAAGTTCATAGTCGACAATGAAATAAATACATTCTCTTGCAGTAAAAGTCATCCACAGTTACTTCAGAAATTAGGAAACTACTTAATAAACATCTTCTTTAGAAAGTAAATGATCATCCAAACATGAAACTCGCTTCAGTTTAGTTCTTTAATAATAAAAACACATATTCATAAAAGCCTAAAAGTATACCGCTGTTTATGTCATCGCACATTGTAAAGTACGCAAGCTCATCTCAACATTAACTTTTGATTTTTTCTTTTAGTTTGGATTCGCGAGCAGGAAACATCAAGTTGGCTCCGCATGCGGCAATAGCTAGCGACTTGGGGCAACGATTATTCTTTTCAATTGGAGATAATCCCAAGGACTCAAGATTACAAATACGAGACGTTAAATCCACTGATGGCGGGATATATCGTTGTAGAGTTGACTTTTTTAATTATCCAACACGTAATTATAGGATTAATTTAACATTAGTTGGTAAGTGTTAACATTAAAAGTTAAGAACAACTTTTGCCTTTTTTTATATCCTGCACACACTCCCTCATACTGAGATTAATAACAATGAAAACGAAGGGAAAAAATGAATTCGTCTCTTACAAAGTTCTACTTGTTCCTCGAATGTATACGTAAAACACATAAATATTTTCGGCAAAGCAAATGTAACATGCCCATAAAATTCCGGGAAATCCGTTCAACGAAAAGTTCTGGTTTAACGGACGGACAGATAAACAAACGAACACAACTAATATAGCGCGAGTGTCTAAGATTTCACTGATATTTTATGACACCTCTGATGTGTTTTTCTAAACCTTATAATCTTTTAAAAGATTAAGTATATTATCAGAATATAAAAACAAAATTTACATAAAGAATGCCTTAGAATTGCATTATTAACAATATTTTATATAGGTCCTCCAGAAGAACCACGAATTTTTGATGCACAAGGCAAGGAAATATCTCAGATGGCCGGACCATTTCGTGAAGGCTATGAATTATTTTTATGTTGTCAAGTTAAAGGCGGTAAGTTGATGAATAGCATAAAAATATATAAATATATATGTATATAAATTATATTTTAATAATATATTGATTCTACTTAGGACGTCCTCCTCCAAAGGTTACTTGGTGGAAAGAAGAAAATGAACTTTTAGGAACTAGTCATACATCTATAGAAGAAGGAGTTACAGTCATAGTTAATCAATTACTGATCAGTGCAATATCACGTGAATATTTTGGTTCGAAAATTCAATGTCGTGCTCAAGGAATAAAATTAATAGATCCAGTCATAAAAGAAGTGATGGTACAAATACATTGTTAGTAATAAATGATGAACTTTTGACTGTTATATGCGTTTATAATATATATTTCATTACACGTTTGCAGTAAAGCCGGTGCAAGTAAAAATTGTTACCCCGAATGAGTTACTTACCGCTGGACATCCCACGCCATTACGTTGTGAGTCATGGGGATCATACCCAGCAGCGAAAATTACTTGGCTTCTTGACGGAGAACCGATTAGAAATGCAGAAATTACATCTCACAGCGATAGAGAGGTAAAATAAAAGCTTCATATGATTTGCGCGAAGAGGAAAATATTTTAATGCAAAATGTAAAAATATACTCGTATTACAGAAAAGCAATGCTGCATTTGGAATGAATTTGAATTATTTTGCTTTGGCACAATTATCAACCTTTAACGCGAATTTTCAGCAGATATTCTAAAAAATGAAAAAATTAAGACAATTTTTAATTTCTTAATTGTTCTCGTACTGGCTCTCGTTTCTGATAACTCTACTGTACCTAAAAAATAAGCTTTGTCCGCTATTCGTATAAATTGTAAACGCAGATTTGACGGCTCGGCTTGTCATACTACTCACAAAATTCATATAATTGGCAGATTCAAGTTATCGCAAATTTCACATTTTTTTACATTTCATTTCTTTAAATCTCAAAATAACTGATTAGTTATACGACACATAATAAAAGACATTCCGCCTGGACCTACTACCGGAAGATCAGGTACACCCACGTCGCAATGCTTAGAAGCAAGCTCCAGAGGCTTTGTAAAGTATTCATTTTCTTTATAAGAATTAATGTCTGCGAATGATCTGTCAGTGCGAAAAGTTAGGCACGCTCATTCGATATTAAAGGGCATTGAAATTTCAGGTTTTCTTTTTTGAAAGACAAGGATTGTTACAAAATCCGGCCTCAGACGTTTTTTTAGCCGTTTATAATCAACTGGAATCAATTTGTACATAATGAGCTTAATTAAAGTTTGCCATCTTTACAGGATTTAAATGTTACGACCAGCATATTAACCTTAAAGGTAACATCTGAAAATAATAATGCTGAGCTGACATGTCGCTCGTCAAATCCTTGGTTTTCCGGAAGCATAGTCGAGGACAAACGCGTAATACGTGTAGCATGTAAGTACAAATGTCTTTTCTAGAAACGCATTCCTTTTCTTTTCTGAAATTTTTCCATGTGAAATCGTAGAGTTCATTAAGATCGCCTAAAAAATGACTTGTTCTTACAGATCCTCCCACTGTTTCGGTGCATTTAGCAAATGAAGATCCGACCAGAATAATACTCAGAGCCGAAGGACAAAATGTTACGTTAAAGTGCCGTGCGGACGCTAGACCGCCCGTTACATCATACTCATGGTTTAAAAACGTAAGATTAACTTATTATTTATTTATGCCATGGCTTTTAAAAAGCAAGATAATACAAAAAAAAATTATAATCTTTCTATCTATCTATTTTTTTCCAATTTACTTATATTCTAATATAGGGTATGCGTATGTCTGGAGAAAGTAACGATATATTACATTTAACACAATTGGAACGCGAAAGTGCTGGTGCATACGCCTGCGGAGCAATAAATACAGAAGGCGAAACACGTAGTTCTAGTATAAGCCTAAAAGTTCAGTGTAAGTTTTTATTGGTATAAATTCGTGGACCGATTATTGAAAAAAAAAATGACCAATGATATGTTAATGAAGTATTAGTGAAGATGAGACCATTGAGAGGAAAGTCTTCAATTTCGTAAGTCAGGTATTTCTTTCCAACCGCCAAACATCCGATTACGATAGAATGAAACCAGCAGATCCCTGTGTAGGAGCAAATGTTGTAGATATTGGCTTTTATGGCTTGCTACGAAAAAACACGACGAAAGGAAGAAAACATAATCTTAACAGTTAGATGCTTAGAAATCCTAATGTGCTGACACAGATGTCCGGAAAGAATTATTAGGAAACAGAACGAAGTGATTGATGACCTTGTTTCTAATGCGTAGTGGAATCTATATGATGAACGATTAGAAGGTTTTTAAACTTGTGTTTGATTTCAGTAATTATATGATATATGGACAAACAGAACTTAAGAAAACACCCAAACCATAATGACACATAATACCGGAAGCGTTTCACTAAAACAGATTTATACCACTGTTGGTAAGGGGGATGGATAATCAAAGGCAATCGCTTTCATATTTTGATAAATTTATTTTAATTTTCTTAATTTTGAATCTTTCTTTTCAAGATTTATGAGATCAGTTATGGCTTAATAGCTAGCAATAGTTTATATGTTTTTTCCTGATTCCTAATGGTGCACTCAACGCAATGATATTTAACTTTATGCTTCACAAAAAATGATTGTATATATACATAAAACTACTGTAAAACTAAAGATACTCATCTGAAACATGTTCGTTTTGCGAGAAATTAAAATTTAGTTTCTATGCCATGAAAGACAGTAATAAAAAATGGACGAACAATTAAAGCACAAAAGAACTAACGGTCATTCGATGCCCTTAAGGTAAGCGTGTGTGGCTACTGACAATCCGGAAAAACAAAATGTAGAAAGAACTTTTTGATATAATATGAAAGCATTCATAAAAGCAAATTTCCAACACAAATTTTTTTGTTACATTCTATTGACGTTTAAGCTAAAAAAGGGATCACGAAATGACCTCAATGTAACAAAAGGGCTAATATACATTATACCGGATGTTTGAATTAATTTCATTCGTTTTAATGTTTTTTGTTTTCTCTCTAAATCACGTATGCGAAACCCTTGTTACACAACTCCATCGCATCCATTTGAAAGTAGCATAGTAGCAGTAAGTTTTACCTTCTGTAAGTGCTAGCTGTCTTTAAATGTTATTAGTAAATCTTTTTTCTAGGCCATCAAGAAAACATTTGATTTCTAAATTCGCGTAAAAGTCAAGTTACCACAGAAGGAGATCGAAAGGTTAGCACTATTATGAATAACGAGCAAAATCGCTTTATCATAATGCTTGTCTTTCAAGCGAAAAAAAAAACTATGATGAATTGAAATGATCGTTATATCGAATGTTTACTAATTACATCTATTGAATAAGCCCTCGCTGGTTTCCAAGAATTGCTGTAACCGAAGCTTTAAGGTAGTGACTAAAACTGTGCCCTTTCCATTTGAGCGGTTTTAGCAGTAGAGAATGGTGAGAACGCGACATCTCCTGCCCCCTCGGCGGGGACCGAATCTCGCGTACCCACACGTTTTTCGCATTCTACTCTTCAAGTTCTTTTATTTGATACCCATATCGCTGGTATTATCAAGAATAAATTAATCGCGGTGTCTACCAACTTTTAGGCAGATAATATATCTTCACTTTGTCTTGTTTGCCTTATGATAAATAAGTATAAGACGTCAAAAAAGTAAAAAAAATTAAATTTGATTATTAGTAACTTTGTGCGGACACGGCCGATTGGTTCCACTTATGGACCTAGAGAGTGAAGTGGCCCGTAAAGCTAATGCGAAAAGTTTCAGCTTCCTAACTTTAATAATTTCCGAGAAACGAGCAAAAATTCAAAAATTTAATAAAGGAAAAAACGGGTTGCGCTCAGTCTACGCTCCTCTGCGCGCTTCCGCTGTGACCACTTTGGTCCATTTTCAATAAGAACCTGCGTACAGAAACTTCCAATGTTTCTACCAAATATGAAGTCGATATCATTTTTGCGACCAGGAGAGTGCCAACAGCACGCACCACACAGATCGACGGACATGGCTAAATCAAGTCAAATCAAGATTTCATGCTGATCAAGAATATATATACTTTCTAGAGTCTCTGAAAGTTGCTTTTTGGGTGTTACATATATTTTGCGAAAAAACAGAATGACTATACTCCCATCTTACAGTGGTGGGTATAAAAATGACCAGGAACTTATTGACACACGTAACTGTATTGAAGATTTATCTGAGAAAATGATTTACATACATTCCAGATTCACCACGGTGTAAACCCGGCACTGAACAAACGTCGGTCGGTGCAGTTAATATGCAATCCATACCGATCAGATGTGAAGTAGAAGCGGATCCCTTCGAATCTGTAAAATTTAGCTGGACATACAACAATACCCGCAATGTTTCGCCGGTAATGATTTAGCTTAAATAGATTTATATGTAAATGGATTTACATCTATATGTATATAGTATTGAAAATTGAATCTGTACTATGTGTATTTTAGGTGCTAAATTCCAGAATACAATCGAAAGGCTTAGTAAGCACTGTGACGTATTTGCCTCAGACTGATTCTGAACTTATAACGTTAGCGTGTTGGGCTAGCAACGTCGTTGGCAGGCAAGCCGCACCGTGCTTGATACATATACTATCCGCAAGTAAGGACCATCATTTCTCTAAACGAAATGAACGTATTAACACTGTATGATATCTTTTAGATCCTCCCGAAAGTCCAAAAGCATGCGAAGTACGTAATGATACGATATTGGAAGTGGTGTGTATTGCGGGAAACGATGGCGGTCTGTCACAGTATTTTGTCTTAGAAGTAATTGGCGGAGATTTCTTGGAAAATACTGATATTTTAGCAAGCATCAATGATGTGGTTGGTAGCGCAGATAGCGAAGTATCGACCATGAATGATCAGGTAATAAAAATGAGAATTTTTATATGGCATGTCAACTTAAATTATTTAATTTCAATTATTTACTTTAATTCGTCTAAATTATAGACGAAATTCTCTTTTTATTGCAAATATCTTTTTATAATCGTCTTTTATGACACCATAATAATGAATAATTTGATATTTAGGCAACAACTGCACCTCTATTTCGTTTGCAAGAATCGAATCCGATCTTCCGTTTAAACAATTTGGAACCGGGCAGGGAATATCAATTCTTAGTATATGCCGTAAATGCAAAGGGACGTAGCGATCCGCCAGCAATTATTGAAAAAATTCGCGTGACCACACAATCGAGATTGTACGGTAAGTAAATTAATCCGAGACTTACCCACATATTGTTTTTTCTATTAAGGATCTACTTTGCCGAACTTTGTGACATTTCCCGCCTTTTTTTCACAACAAAAAATATACGTCGAAAATTATTTTTCCATGACTAATCCATTATTTTAGATAAACGAACAAAAAAAAATTACGACGGCTTACTTCCACTGCCAACATTTCCGTTAGCCTTTCCCTGAAAGTGTGACCGATGTTTTTTTGCGGAGTCTCATTATAAAGTATCCTAACAAATCGAAATTTTTTTCTGGGCTCTGCATTATCCATTCACTTTTAAATTTGGTTGTTAAAAAAACCAAGGTCATCAAAAAGTAAGACTGAACGAAACGGACGGAAAGACTTTATATCAGTTTTTGTTATTCATTCATTTATTTTTGATCAGAACTAAACTGATAGATAAATATAAAACTTTTTTCAGATGATTTCTTCTTATCGGAAGATCCAACGCCTGCTGGGACCACTCACCAAATTAGCAGCAACATTGGACTAATTGCCAATGATATTGGTGCTACGTTATCAGTTACACATGAAAAACAGTCAACTTTGCTCATTTTAGTAATTATTGTCGCTATAAGCACAACAATAGTAACGGCAATTATTGTCGCGGGAGTCGTTGTAGTTTGTAAAAACCGACCACGACCTCCAGAACCTCAAGACGTGAGAAAAAATATGAGGTAAGTGTAAGCAATGATGTGAACCAAATTTTTAGTACGCGTAAAGCCTCCTTAAAAGATATGCTAAATACCTAGCACTTTATGCGACAATAGCAATAATTCTAGCTAAGAGCTACCTAAAGTATTTTCTCATAGAAAATGCCCATTATTTAATTATCGAGACCGATATGACCTCCGTTTTTGTTTTTTAATTTTCAATTCATTTTAAATGTGCTTTATTTTTGAATCGGAAGATCGAGCAAAGAACATCGAAACAAGGAAACCTAGTTTCTTATATGATTTGTCTTTCTTCTTATATGATTTTTAAAAAAAGTAGTAAACTTATCTGATCGGTGCAGAAGGATTTCAAAAAAGTAACAATTATACTTGAGATTACCTGCGCTTACTTTCCGATATTATAGAAAAAATTTTGAAATAGTTTGAACCATTGGTGTATAATAAACGCTTGATTACGTCTTGATTGGAATATATGCTAGTCTAAGATCTCGTGCAAATTATGTATTTGATTTTTTAAATTCATTCCCCCTTCTATAATCCAATTCATCTATGATAACAGTAAATTAAATTTGTCAAAATATAACCAACATCCTCCACGACTTCAAAAGCAAAAGCTGCTTTTGCCGAAAACTAGGAATTGATGGATGAAAAATGACCAATTTTGCGAAAGCGCTTCCAACAAGATCTCCTCCCCATTCAGCAAGCATTCTCGTGAAAATCAAGCCCGCATATGGCGGCAGGGTCTGACTTCTCCTCATTTACGATGAAAATGTTTAATGATATTTAATGGTCGGCCATGTATGACTATAAAGTTGTTAAGTTAGGTGCAGTTATGGTATCAATACGAACAGAAATTAAATTGTTCCAGTACTTCAAAATGATCCAGAATATAGGATTTCTGAGATATGTGATTGTCTCAATCAGAACGAGAAAGTTACCATGCTCTTTGGTCATGAACATGAAAAAAGAAGGGAAAATATTTATTCTAATTGTAATATTTCTCTATTCTTATGTGTTAGTTTATCAATTATATAGTTTCAATTTTGAGTTCTATTAAGTAATCACTTTTAAGTTGAGAAATAGATCTCAATACATTGGCTGGTACATTTAAGATATCTTAAAATTAAAGCATTCCGTCTTAAGTTGCCTTTACTCATAAAAAGGTACGGATTATGAACGCAAATTATTTGAAAGCATACTATATAAGTCTACAGCTGATCAATTTAGGCTATAATCACGCAAGCTGACCTTTTTATAGATTTTGGAGATTTTAAAAATTAAAAAAGCACATTTTTCTTTTAATGATTATTGCATTCTTCTAAATCATATGAAATTACATATACATTATTATAGGAGTTGTGACGGCAATTACTTATTGAACACTTTTCTAATTGTAATTATTGTTATATGTATATACTTGGATGTTGGTCTCCAGATTTCCGTTTACGCCGTTTTGTGACAACTAATGAACACTTGATATGCTTTAAATTTTTTTCATTCCAGGCCAGTTCGAAATGATGTTCCTTCAATGTATATAGAAGAAGATGAAGTTAATGACGATGAAATAATAAGTAACACCTGTTCTGCTAATATACATTCTCGGTTAGCTTCTTCAACTTTAGACTCACGTCGAAACGTGGCTGCTTTTAGTAATCCGCATCAGTACTATGTTTCAGACGGTTTCGTTCAATATGCACAGCCTAGTCTAAATGGTATATCACATTCTTTCTTTTAGTAGTTCTTGTTATACTTGCACCCACAACAACTTACCTGTCATGTCACCTCTCACCGGATCCTATTTTCAGTATCCTATTTTCATATTTGCGCGTTTAACATATCACATATCATATTTCGCCCCCTTATTCGTTACATTCTTTCAAGTCGTCCAAGATATAGTCAGCGAACCTCATTTTCAGCAACTTTGATCACATCATATATCATACGAGGCCATCTTATTGCGAATACACGGCAAACACACATCACACACACATCATTCTTTCAAGATGTCCGAAACACAGTCATATAGGATATTACGGTGCTACCGTAATGTAAGCTTCGAAAAACACACATTTTTGAGAAGAAAAAGAAGATGAAAAAGAGCTGACTATGAAAAAGTTTTTATCCGATTATAAAGCCATCTTTACAAAGAACTCTTCTTGCCGTTAGTGAAACTGTAGCAAAGCATATTTGCAGGCGGTAATAACACTTCTGTTTGCCATTTTTGCCCCTTTCAAAAGTCATATCTTACAAGCAAAAGCATTAGACAGTTCGTAAATACTCGTGAGTAAGAGTAGAAATTTCAAAGCTCACAAAGTCCCTTTTAGGGAGCGGAAAGACCCGTTTAGGAAACAAACATTCTATAACGACTTTATATATGACTTGGTAATGTGAACATTGAAATACGGAAAATCTACCCAAAAAGACTTTAAAGCGTCTTTGTTGTCCCTAATGCTCTACTCTGACCTAATTTACCCGAAAAATAAGCTTTCTACCTATACTAAGGCACGAAATATTCCTTATATCAACATTTGCATGCAAAGAGAAATTTGTTAAAAGTCAAATTGACATTTTTTTAAAGATTTATGCAGTTTCCTAACTATTTACTAATTTATTGTAGATCCAGATTTAATACTGCCGCGTGGGGAATTGGAATTTACGACACTGGACCCAAGGTAAAGTTGCAATCACTTACAAGTGAATTGATGAATTATATCAGTTTGTATTTATTATTGTGCAAATAATTTCTTTTTATATTGATACACACATACAAAAATTATGTAAATGAATTTTCGATACTAGTATATAATCACAATAAGTTTAAGACTTTTCCACAAATCAAAAACTAGCCTAAAACATATGTAGGTAGACGAAAAAATATGTCTGTATAGTCATTTTAAACTGTTGTTGTAAATCGCCGACATTTTTCACCAGAATGCTTCAGTAAGCTGAGCTAATTTTCTTTTTCTTTTCTTGATACCTATCACCGATACTTTTATATTGAAATTGGAAAAAATGCTTAATTATCTCTTTGTTTACTAAGCTGGTAGACCGATTGAAACAACTCTGATCTGAATATTTATGCATTTGTAGGAATTATTGAGAATTTTTCAAAAATCTTTTAATCGCTCTGGTTGATGATTTCATTTATAAGACTTTGCCGCAATCTTCTTTGATATGTGCAAAGGAAACAAGAGAATCAAGAAACATCTTCTAACTGACTGATATTTTGCTAGAAGACCAAAGGCACTGCCTTCTGCCATCTTTATTTATCATGATTTCTAGGAACGCAGGCAGCTCTCTTTGTTTGCCTATAAAGCTTAACATCACCTATCTTTAGATTATTCTTACCATGCTTTAGATTTTTCTTCACTTATTGAGCCCTGATAAATATCTACAATAAAATCTTCATATCGACGTTCAGAAGCACCTGAAAATCATCTAGCTTCCTCTTTCTTCAGGTAATGAAATTTCTCGATTATTGAATTGAAACATTTGCGTCGATTTCCGAATTTTTTCGTGCAATTCATTTAAGAGCAATAAGTATTGAATTTGAAAATTAAATGGATCAGGTTTATATGAGGAGAGACGGATAAAGTAAATGGAAAGTAATGCATTTTTCTGCCTTCAGGGTGGTGGGTATAAGAAAAAGAAAAAAATATTTTAAAAATGTTACAAAATTCATGTTAATATAAAAACTTAATGCTAGGTTATAATCAATAGTTTTTAAAATGTTGAAAATACAGTTAACAATACGTACATACAAAGCATTAAATTTAACAAATCAAATAAAAATTCCAATAAATATCTGTTCTATTAGAATTAAAAAGAAAATGTAAATAAACAAAAACCAAAGTATGTTCAAAGCGATTCTATTGTTTATAAATATTAAGTTTTCTCTTAAGTTGTAAATATCGAATTTATGAAATTTATAAAATTTAAAATAGTCAATATTGAAATATAAACCTCGAATGCCGAGCTAGACTTTACTTGACGGTGGAAGATCTTATATAAAAATTCGCACAAATTATCTGAATTTGATTCAGTTATAAATAATAGTCTGATGAAAAATGCCGAGAATTTTTTAACTAAACAGTCCTCCTAAATTTTTTATATCATGAGATATCGCACATACAGGTCCGCAATGCTAACCCAACATAATTTTTTTTGTTGATTTTATGTTCGTTTTAAGTGAATTTGCTTCTTTCTTTGTTTTTATGGGGAGAGAAAGGAACTGAAGGATAAGAGTGAGAAGAAATAATTGGTGGCTTCCAGTCATATAAGTATATGTGATAAAGGAAGAATCTTGGATTGGCATATATTCCAAAAATGATGACGGATAAAATATGATAGAGCACAGCTTATGGACTATTATACCAAAAATCGAACCTGGATCTCTTACGTATGTACCGAATGTCCTATCCACTAAACTATATGTCAAAAGTTTGTAACTTTTCGTCGGTGTTTCAAAGAACTTTGGGGAATTTTAGTATCTTACACGGGTTGCTTCAAAATTTGGATTGCTACATTAAGTTGGGAAAATACCACAACAAAAAAATTCATAAAGAAATGATAAAAAAGGGGACATATTGAACGCTTCTAATGGCTATATTTTTAAATCCTCCATACACTTATAACTCTTAAGAGCTGTAAATCGACTTTTGGTGAAAGTTAGAAATATTGAAAGCTGGGAGTGATAATTGGATTAAACGGAATCTTGCAGTATATTATAAATCACGGTTTTTTCTTATAATCCGATAAGATCTATCCAGTCTAGAGAGTATCTTTTGACTATAATACTATTTGTGCTTACAATTCTGCGACAATTCTGGTTACTCATTGCTTTTAACATTGAAGCATTGCGCTTTGATCTTCTCGATCTACGTAAAAACACTGATCCCTAACGCTTTCGATGTAGTTTGCAGCCATTAGTATTTGATAAATTAATTATATTTTTTATTATTTATTTATTTATCCATTTTTTTTAATTATTAGGTTAACCGCAATTCTCTCCCTTTTTTTTAATTTATCCATATTTTTTAAAGTTACATGTAGTATGAATATCAATTTTAATTCTCCAATTAGTCGCCTAATCCATTATAACAAATGAGTTTCCGAAATAATAAGAAAATTGTAAAGCGTAAAGTTTAAGCACTTTTTAAGAACATCTCATCGAAAGTGTACTAAAGTCGAAAAAGCAGAAAAATTACATACAAACTTCCCGTGGGTAAAAGCAAAGCTTATGATTTCCCTTAACCGGGTCTCGTCAAAAAAAATTCCGGGTCTTTTCTTAACACATTTTGTAGTGGTCCCTGCTCAATATACACAATATAATCGGGCATTCTAAAATTATTCATCTCATCGAAAGTATATTAAAGTCCAAAAAATCCAAAAACCGAGAAACATTACATACGAACTTCCTATAAATAAAAGCGAAGCTTATTATTTCCTTTAACCGGGTCTAGTCAAGAAAATTCCTGGCCTCTTCTTAACACATTTTGTAGTCGCCCCTGCTCAATATATACAATATAATCGGGCATTCTAAAATTATTCTTGTACATACACATTTACAAAATATTGTTCAACTTTAGACTAAATAACTATTAATAGACGAAACGTTAATCAATTTTATTTGAAATATTCAATTATTTCCTGTAGAGTCAAGACGTGAAATATGTGCTTTATATTTATACATATTTGTACATTACGGTAAAATAATTAGATTTATTAAATTAAAATATTCATAAACGTGTAAATTTATATATATAAATATATATGAAATATGAAAGTATATAAATATTAAGTAAATTAATTACAAGTTGACATCAAAATTACTTTATGATGTATTTATTTCCTTTTTAAAACCTTTTCCACAACAAATCCGTGTTAATGTAGCATTTCTCTTCTCGATAACATTTACAAATAAACTTTTCAGTCAGTAATGCAATAAAATAAAAATTGAACACTATTATAAATTAAAATAATAATAATAAATTATTATTAAATAGTAATGATAATAAAGAACTTTTCAAATTTATTTGACTTTTTTAACTCCAAAGCAATGTTATGTGACGAACTGGTAAACTTTTTTATCTAATCTATTATATATATTATAAAGTTCGAGCGACATTAGAATTTCGCAACGGTATCATCTACTAGTTGATGACCGGCGTGAACCTTTATTACAGACTGGACCAACAACAAGTGAATTTTCTTGAAATTATTTATTGCGTCCTACGAACTGAACACTAACGCAAAATAAATACTGAAGAACGAGATGCTGTGTTCAAGTTGAAGTATAATGGGATAAAGGAAGAAACGATTATAAGCATCTACTACGGGATATATTCAAATATTATGACCAAGTCACTAAAAAAGTCAAGATTAAAGTTAAAAAATGTCCTCTTATCGATGAAAGGTGTTATTTCAAAACTGAGTAAGGGTTGGATGTATTACAGCCAATGCATACACGTTGACCATGTACCTACCTACCCATCTTCATATCAATAAAAGTTGACGGCGAATCTTATGCGCTAGAGTATTTTATTGCAATCGGTTAACAGTTTTTCGAACCCCAAAGGAAATCTTTCTTTCCCAAAATGAAGTAAGTCGTCGTGTGTCGATTCGCATTAGTGTGATGTGTGAAGCAAAAACTACTAATTCGGGTGATCTCAGAATTTGTTCTTACATGTTTGTAAAAAGGCTTTCCAAAATGAATTGACATTCTCAAAATATTTCTTACAGATCACGACTATCACGGATAATCTTAGAGATGCTTTCATTATTATATAGAACGAAAATAATACGTCACTAGAGCCCATACAATGCATAAACACTGTCTTCACCGGGTCTCCTTTGAGATGGAGGTACTTTGTAAGCATCCCTCAAACTTTGATTGCTCTCTGATTTGTAAAAGCCTTCTGTTTAAACTCTACGCAAATTCTGCCTTTGATGCGTATGTAGACATCGTCTTTGACGGCTTTGATTAAGTCGAGCAGGAAACTTTGTTTCAAGCTACATGTCTAGTGAATCGTGACGGGTTATGAAAAATGAATACGATACGATACGATGCAAAAGTTATTGATCAATCCATTTTGAGGGATTAGCCCGGTGCGTTCTCTAGTAATAAAATGTGTATAAAGCTGGCAATGATAAGAACAAAATCAGCTACAATTTTACGGATTGATTTTTGAGTACGGCAACCATCGATCTCGAATTGTAAGACCAGCGCAGCTAATGTTTCCAGCATTGTAGTTGAGTGTACCACCATTCACAATGCGTTTACATGACATTCTTACCCCTGATGAATACTTATTTTAAATACTCTCTTATAGTGTGTGTAGGCATGAGTGCTTATATAAATAATCTCAAACTAATTATCAATTATCATTTCGGCACGAAATCCATATGCTATCAGGAAGTTGGGAAGAACGCGCATCTCTTTTTCACTCTTATAAAGCAAATCCTTTACCCCTTTTATCACTCTTTAGAGAGAGCGAGCCCTTTTCCTTCACAAAAAATCTATAATAAGTTCTTTGTACGTAGTGTTACAAAGTGGATTGCCCTTGTACAAGTAACTGCCCGTCTATTGAAAATTGGTTATCAATTTTGTTGAAGTAGTTCATGTAATTATCTATTATCCTGAAATTACCTGCAATTTGCATTTCATTATATTTGACAAATTGCATAATAAGGTAATTCGACATATTTTATAGTATTTCTTTTTTTTCAATTTATATTCCACGTTAATCATAACTTATTAAATAAACTTTTTCTGCTCCGATGTTAGGTTATATAAGGCAATCAATCATAATAAAGTCAAATATTGCCATAACTTGAGAAATTGAAAAGGATCAAAAAGGAAAACTATTTGCTGCTGGGTTTAGAGGAATGATCTCTTTATTGATTTTTAAACGATGTACATTATGTTCTTGTAAAATGCTTATCCATGTATATATATTTAAAACACAATTGTAGAAAATTATTTTTTCTTTTTTTTTTGCACTTAACTACATATATATTGTTACGAATTCGTTTTTCAATTTTAAATGCATCATCTGATTTGCAAAAAAGTTTTCTTCTTCATATCCACCATAGAGGCGTAAGGCTTGTAAGATAAAAAATACACCTGTCTGGGATTCCAAAATCTATATAAATATACATTAGTTTTTGATTAATGGGAACAGTGAAATCCGTCTATCTAGTAGTGTGCGCTTACTATCACTATGGCCAACTTAAGTTCAGAAACTATCACATTTACTAATTAGGAGCTGCTTTCAAAAAAATGGTAGACATCACAAATTCGTGCAACGGGCCGCGTCTATTAAAATCTGTCGGTTGCATGCATATAAAATGTAAAGTTAACAATATTCTGGTTGCGCTCCGAGAAAACGATTTGTTTTCTCCTTACAGTTTTCATGACTTTCTATAAAATTTGATATTTCGCGGCAAGAGACAACAAAAAGCTCCAAAATTAATTTTGTTATAGAACAAGGACTGGCTCAGAAAACGGCTATTAATTGAAGAGTTGACCTCATCCATTGTGGCGGATATGACATAAAAATTCGGACAAAACCCGAATACACAATTTTTGGTTTATTTTTGCTTTCGATTATTATAATAAGTTTTCGAATTAGTTTTGTTAAAAAAAAAACTTTTTTAAAATGTTTGCATCAGATCATTTTAAGATTCTTCATTACACTTCAATGGTTCGTATTTTTTTTAACTCCTCTAAGGACACTTTAGTAACTATCAAAATAAATATATTCTATATATAAAAATTTCTTGATATAGTAACAAAGCTTCTCCGAAGAAAGTCGAAAATAGTCTACAATACG